CGCCGACACAGACGTCGTCCAAAACGTAGGCACCAGCGAAAGCATAGTGGACATAGGAGTGATGCATCACCATCAGCAACAGATGAACATACGCGTGCGCATTATCAGGCCGCTACACCCATGTCGTACGCACCACGTCCCAGGGATGCAGAAAGTGGACCAACGCCCGCGTTGCACGCCGATGCTTCAGATAATGAGTGGCCTTCGCTACCGACCGGAGCAATAAAAAAAGACCACATCATGGGCTGCAACTTCAAAGAGGGCGGTAAATGATAGGCAAGACACTGAGAAGAGCCAAACTATGCTGAAGCATCTACTAAAATCTATTCGTGCGATTCTCAACGAGCTACACACACCAGGAGCAAAAACAGCAGTGCAGATCCTCAACGTGCTGGAACCGCTACTGGTGACCCTTCCATAAACAATATGGGGAATTTCTTCAATGAACGTGTGCGCACCTCTGCTATAATGCAGTGGAATGCACGAGGTTTACGAAGCCGATTGTCTGACTTTCGACAACGGATGTTTAAATACAAATTTCCGTTGGTTATAATATGTGAGTCGAATATGATGTCGTCGTTTCGTATTTCCGGATACGTCACTTTGTGGTCACGTGATGATCGAAATACGAGCAAAGTAATTATATGCGTACGTCAAGATCTAACGTACGTGAGACATGCCGTGGCTCCTCATGCTTCTAACGACTATATTTGCCTATCTATAAAGCACAAGCGACGTTCAATATCAATCATTGGTGGATACATTCCTCCTATAAGCCACGTGGACTGTTCCCATCTCTTGTCTGTGCTCCAAGCTTGCCCTGGACCACATGTATTAGTTGGGGATTTTAATGCACATCATCCCATGTGGGATTCTGCCTCAATGAACACCCGCGGTAGGGACATTGCCGATTTTGTGCTCAATCAGGGCCTGATGTCCATTAACGATGGCTCACATACTTACCTCCGCGGCGCATCGCACAGCAGCTGTCTAGACGTATGTTTTGTGAGCAGAAGTCTCTTGCCTACCACCTGTTGGTTCGTAGACGTTGAAACACATGGAAGTGACCATCTCCCTACATATATACAGCTAAAAGGATTCCGTCGTTCGACTCCCCTGCCTGTGAAAAGCGTAGACTGGTCAGGATTCTAAGCTTCTGTAAATGCTCAGTGCGGGAACATTCAATGTATATCTGAAATAGAAAGCCTAATTGCATCAGCCTTAATAACGCATACAAAACTTGTGAATGTGTCGCTACCAAGATCACAACTTGACGCACAATAAGAATACCTTCGTGCAATCTGTCGCCGGGCAGAGAGAAAATACAGCAGGATGAAATCCCCATCTGACCTATCTACAGCACGCCAAGCAAAACGACATGTATTGCGACACCTCGATAAGCTCGATAGGCAACAGTGGAGGGTAATTTGTAGCTCTCTTGATCCCAGAAAACCCCTGTCTCGAATATGGCAAACTGTCCGAAGCCTTCAGACGCCCACTCAACAGTTGTGCCCTTTCCGATCTTTGGCTCTAAAGCAAGGTCGACCTGAAGTAGAGGTTGCAGAAGATTACTACCAATTACTCGTAGGTATGTCCTCCTCATCGATATCACCTTTGTGTTTAGCCTCATCACCATCCAGCGACGATCGCCTCGACTTACCATTCACAATGCACGAACTCGACGCTGCGATTTCTGCGCCCCGACGGTCCGTCCGCACCAGGGCCTGACGGAATTACTTATTCGGCTCTATATCACCTCAGCCAGGAAGCAAGGCAGGCTCTCTGGTCGTTCTACAACTCTACGCGGGAAGCAGCGACAGTCCCAGAGAGTTGGAAGTGCAGCCGCATAGTGGCCCTACTGAAACCAGGCAAGTGTTCACACGAGTTGTCTTCTTATAGACCCATTGCCCTAGCCAGTTGCATCGGTAAGGGGATGGAACGCATGGTGCTGGCAAGATCAGAATGGCTGCTGGAGAATAATGTCGGCTTACCAGATTTTATAAATGGCTTCCGTAGAGGTCGATCATCTATAGACGGTGTTGTAGATCTAGTTTCTTCTGTTGAAAAGGAAAGACAACGTCGGAGATTGGTAGGGGCCATTTTCTTAAATATAAAAGGCTTGTACGATAGCGTCTACCATGAGGCCATTCTTGACGCACTTGAAGACATCGGCATAGGTGGCCGACTACACGCATGGATAGGGAGCTATCTCAGAGGACGTACCAGTTTTATGTCGACATCCGACGGTGACACGGCCAGGCACCTCGTAAGCCGTGGAGTTCCGCAAAGTGTGGTCCTGAGCCCCATGGTTTTTAACATAGCACTGATTGGCCTTGAAGCTGAGCTTCCCGACGTCGTCAGAATCAGTGCGTGTGCGGACGACATATGCATATGGGCATCTGGAGCAACGCGACCACAACTGCGAGCAAGGCTACAACAAGGCACATCAATAACATTTGAAGTACTTACGTCGTCAGGGACTGGAACTTTTCCATGACAAAATGTGCTGCATTGGCATTTACGAAGAAATCAATGTCGCGGTACCCAATCTTCGCTCACGGAGCAGTGATTCCCGTGGTCAAGCACCACCTGCTATTTAGGGGTCGTCATTGATCGCAACCTGTCCTGGTCAAAGCATGTGACCGTGCTGCAAAACAAACTAATTCAGTTTTGTGTATGTTCTTCGTGTTATAGCAGGACTGAGATTGGGGCCCTTTGGAGTAAAGTCTTCTGCAGGTATACAAGGCATTGGTTGTGGACTATATAAGGTACAGCTCACCTGTGCTTTCCAGCTTGTGGGCAACGTGCCTTCGTACATTAGAGAGCCTTCAGGCACGAGCACTGAGAACATGCCTTGGCCTGCCACGGTGCTCGTCCACCTCTGGCACTATAGAGGAGTCACGCACCTACCCTATACAGATTTACACGTCCTGTGAGCCTCTTCGAGTGCACCTTCGTCTGCTGACCCGACATCCACAGCACCCGTTGTCTTCGCTACAAGTGGACCGACCAGGCTGTACCTATTCGCGATGCCTCGATACGCATAGGCACATGATCCCTTCAGGCTTGGCACCTGCCGTAATCCCTGCAGTGCCTCCATGGACATTGACTAAACCACTGGTGTGCCTTCACATACGTGGAATTTCGTATAAGTCGCGTGTTTCTTGTATTGCCCTCAAGCAACTCAACTTGGCACATTTCGATGACCGATACAGCGACTCTGTGCACATTTACACCGATGTATCCGTAACTTCATCCGCCTCAGCTGCAGCCTTCGTGATCCCTCAACTCAATATTTCTCGACAGTACAAATTAGATCATAGGTCATCTTCGACAGCTGCAGAACTTGTTGCTATACAAGAAGCCATAAAATTTGTGAACGACCAAGCGCCGCGTAAAAGGACGATTCTGTCTGATTCAAAATCAGCGCTTCAAGCTATTCAAGAAGAGGCCAATTTTACGAGTTAGCGCTAGGAATCGTCCAAGCATTTGACCTAAGACACAGGAGCGGTCACTTGATTACACTCCAGTCCCGCCGCGGTGGTCTAGTGGGCTAAGGTACTCGGCTGCTGACCCGCAGGGCGCGGGTTCGAATCCCGGCTGCGGCGGCTGCATTTCCGATGGAGGCGAAAATGTTGTAGGCCCGTGTGCTCAGATTTGGGTGCACGTTAAAGAACCTCAGGTGGTCTACATTTCCGGAGCCCTCCACTACGGCGTCTCTCATAATCATATAGTGGTTTTGGGACGTTAAACCCCACATATCAATCAATCAATTGATTACACTCCAATGGATTCCTGGACACTGCGGCCTAGTCGGCAACGAAAACAGCCGATAGCGAAGCAATAGCGGCAATATACAACGCTCCTATGTACGTCAAAGTACCGTACTCGCGAAGTGACGTCAACACATTGTTGAGATCACTCATGCGCGAATGCGCTGCCGCTTACTGGTCGCTACCAGATCACCGGAACAAGCGCCTGCGGGAAACAGACCCCGGTATGACTTTTCGTCTTCCAGATAAAATCAGCCGAAGACATGGTAATATACTGCACCGAATTCGCCTGGGCGTCACCTTCACTCGCCACTACACCCACCTAATCGGCCGTGCGGACAGCCCGAATCGTGAACGCTGCCAAGTGTGCGAAACGATAGCTCACATATTTTGTGACTGTGCATTATACGTGGCGCAAAGAAAAGTGCTAACTGCAATGTTGGCAAGCATTGGACGAACACCATTAAGTGAAAGCCATATATTGTCAGAAATGAACGACCAAACAGTGTCAAAAACTGCTGCAAACGCTGTTCTAGACTTTATAAAAAGCACTGGACTAAAAACTGGACTGTAGGGTACTATGCTAAGTGGCTGCTGTACATACGCACAACCTCTTCTTGTCCCCATCATCACCCTTCATCCCTTCTTCCTTCCCCTTTACCTTATCCCCTGTGTAGAGTAGCAGGCTAGAGCGAACTAGCTCAGGCTGACCTCTCTGCCTTCTAATAAATTCTCACTCTCTCTCTCAATCTCTTCCTTGCACTTGATTTCTCACCCATCAAAGTTATTGTATCCCACTCCAAATAAATAGCCTCTCGTCATAGATAGATAGATAGATAGATAGATAGATAGATAGATAGATAGATAGATAGATAGATAGATAGATAGATAGACAGACAGATAGACAGATAGATAGATAGACAGATAGACAGACAGACAGACAGACAGACAGACAGACAGACAGACAGACAGACAGACAGACAGACAGACAGACAGACAGACAGATAGATAGATAGATAGATAGATAGATAGATTAGATAGATAGATAGATAGATAGATAGATAGATAGATAGATAGATAGATAGATAGATAGATAGATAGATAGATAGATAGATAGATAGATAGATAGATAGATAGATAGATAGATAGATAGATAGATTTGCTCTAAATGACTGAAAGTTGCTAAAAAATACTTCCCATTCAAACATCCACTCTTGACAGACTTACCCAAGTGGTGCTAGCGAAGTTTCCTCGCATCCAGAGCGGCGATACATTAGCAGGGAGCGGCGGCGGCGCTTGCAGAAGGAAACTCAGCGCTAGTATTAGTTTCAAGGAACATGCACGCTAGCGGTTGCCAGGCATCCTAAGATTGGGTTGAACAGAATGAGGTTGATGTGGATGTTCGCATTTGTTCGCTTCAACAAGTTTCCAGAAATAAAGAAGTTTGACACCACTGTAAAGCACTTTTTGTTTGTTTATATACATTTTTCGTTTTTATTTCCATAATTTAAATCCCGCGAATCACGGCAAGTGGTTGACTTGAGATCGCAGTGCTTGCCTCAGCTCCTTCTCACCGCTCACTCAGCAATGTAACAAGTTGGATCGCACTCACTTATCTCGCTCGGTTGGCTTGCCAGCTACAGGAAAGGTAAGACAAAGTTTTGGCGTGTAGAGAACGGAAGTTGCAGTGAGCTACGTCGAGCGATTCAACCACGCATTCAACAATGATGGCTGAATCGGGCTACACATGCTTTTGGAGACTCTGCGGCGTATTACCTCGGAGAATTCAGATTCCGCGAAGGTTTTTCAGGTTTTTGAGTGACAACGGGTGAGCACAAGTATTTGGACCCATTATTTGAGCATGGTATTTATTTCGCATGAGTACACGACTAAATCTTGTTCTCTGTAAGCAATGACGCTGGACTAACTAGTCAAGACAGCAGCCAAGCTGTTGTCGGCAAAGGGTGTTTATTGAAAGGCTTCAATTCGTGTTGGCTCAGCTACAGCGTTTTTGCTTTTTTTACTCTTCAAATCATACGAAGTAATTGTGGGTGCCTTCCTGTTCATAAAATTTATGCATCCATGGTCTGAAACCTTGTGTCTTTACTTCTAATACTATCGCTGAAATACATGTGATTGACTAAATGCTTCGAAAGAGCGTTGCAGGAGATGTCGCTGGAACCAATGCATAAGTGAACTTTTCTTCGTAAAGCAACACTGTGGCCCTGACAAGGACAATTGAACTTGCCGAACCATTGGTTTCAGTTATGTATACATTGTATATTCAAAATTCTTGTATTGCTTCAAGCCTCTTCATGCCTTTGAACTTCAGTCTCGTTTATTACTCAAGTTCTGCAAGAAACGTGATTGCGTCGTATACGAAGTGTCTACTTGTAATTGTTGACAATTTTTGTATTGGTTCGAATACTGTGAGTTTAACGTTCACTCATTTTGTCCATATGTCTGTTGTTAGTTAAAGCTGCTTTTATAGATTCACACTTTCTCACTATACGTATGTCCATCTTTTTACACAAAACATGCAATAAAAAGTTCAATTTATTTGTGCTGATCAAGTTTTCTCTTACTGAAAAATATGTCAGCTTAACTTTTGCCACTTCAGAACAGATTAACAAAATTTTAAAAAATCGTTAACACAATTTTACGAATGACCGCATCACTGAAGCGGCCAACGGTCCTGAAAAAAAGGCAAGAAGGCACGAGTGCATCCCACTTTCAAGCAAAGTGAGAAAAAAGAGCTTCTGCGGCAACCCTCCCCCTCTCGAGTTTTGTCTTTTCCGTTTATTTGGTCACTCGGCCAGTGACGTCATAAAAGAAATAGTCTGTTCGGGATTTATATCTAGTTGAATGCCCGGCAGCCGCCAGTGGGAAAAGCAGCGCTGGCGCTGCTTATGAGATAAAGTTACTGTATATGCTTCCTTTAGGTAGCAGAGTTGCGCATGGGTCCGCCGTATTGCTCACGGAGACGTTCATGTCGTGCAGGAAAGCCACCCCTTCCGAATCTAGGAGCCGACGCAGCCCAGGGGCCCCATGCATTTTCTCCCTCGTTCATCAATGACTTTCGCTTCGGAAAAAAAAAGGAAGGAATGCTTGAATAAATAATGGTCTTAGATATTACTGACGCTATAGCTTGTTCAATGGCAGTCACCATAGAAAGATATTTTTTTCTAAATAGCAAAGAAGAAAGACTTGGTTTTAATTGTCAAGAATCGTGTACACGGATCGCGACATTTTAGATTCCGCAGATCGCTCGTTTCAAATAGTTTTCCGCCGCTTTAAACGATTAAACAGGCACCTCGATAAAACAATTGTTAGAACTATACTGCCGTGTGTTACAAATAAAGCGAGAAAGCGAGTTTCCTTATACTATAGCTGTGGCATCCTATCATCGCGACAACTACGCTGCACTGAGTCACGGCGCTGCGCTGCACAGACGCCACTAACACTGACGTTCACGACAGAGTTAGTAACGGACTACACAAGACACAATCACAACACCAAGGAAGTGGTACTTCCGCACTCAGCGGGATCGGCTCACCCGACTGCTTGGCCAGGGGTGGTGGGGGCGCCAGTGGCGCGGCGGTCGCCAGCACACGCGAGGCCATAAAGTTGGCTTTTTTCTAAAATAGGCTTTATCCTTGTTTTCTTTGTGCACGTGAGCGTGCTTGGTTAACGGAGGCGCTAGCGGCGAGTTCTATCAGTGCTGCAATTCTGCTACTTAATGTAATTATACAGTAACTCTAGTATCAGCATGCAAAAGCACGTACATGAGATGCATAGAGAGCTTCCGCCCTCTTCTTGTAGCCACGCCCAGCTGCCGCGGGCTATAAGAAGCGCAATGCGCTTGCTAAGTGGTTTTCGTGAATCCATGTTTTGCGCTGTGACGGACTTTCGCTACTTATAGTCGATGAGGGTCGCAAATGCGCTGCTGTCTGCCCTGCAAGCTTGTTTACTTTCTCTGCTCCCGCAGATGATTATTGGCCACTGACCAAGACAGGAAATGTGCGTGGGTCGCCTTCATCATAACGACTACCGATGAACACATTCAATGAATGAATTCGTATGGATGTTTGATTGATTGTGCGAGTGTTTGCCAGAGTGAAGGTTGCACTGAACATCTTACACTCTAACGAATAACCAGCCAGCCCAACAACAAGTTTTATTCAACTGTGTGCCTTGTTGAAAATTTCCTCTGATCTATGTCATGTACTGAACAGCTTCTCTGGACATCCACGTTCACTAAGTGGAAAACCTTACGAGTTTTCTATAAAAAATGCAGTGTGTCTGAATTTAGAGCTATTTCTATAGCCGATGAAAAACAGGGCACACAGGTAGGAATGACAGTGCCTCTGGATGATGATTCTTTTTTTTAAAACGCTCGTCAGGCTCTGAGTGTTTTAGACATGCCAAAAAGGGTTCAATCTGCAATGTTAAACTAATTTTACGAGTGTTCTGCTAGTCGCAGGCGGGACACCTGTGTCTACTTTTGAGGGTTGTGTGAACGCAATATGATGTCGAGAAAGTCACTTAATCTGATTTGACGATGGATCCTCTGAGTGTTTTGCCTGTCCTCTTGTGCAGCACATATCGCATCAGAGGAGGCCAAGGTTAAGTATAATCCATATATAGCAAATAGGGTCATGAGTTCCAACTTTCTCATGCAGATTTTTCACCGTGTTTATCAATTATTTAAATTCCTACTAGACATATGCCATGGGGAGGACTACAGTTTAACGACAAAATCTATAAGTACACGTAGAGATAATCATATAGGTGCACCGCATGATCAATATCTAAGGTTGCGCACATGCACTGCAGGATTCTGCGTTCTTGGTCCATTCATTACCCGCTGCTACGATAAGCCAATGACTTTACCATACTCAAACTATATAGTGCCCGTAAGCACGACATTTTACACTTACCGTCTGCCCGTCGCAATTCAGCTAGATATTATTTCAATGCATGAGATCACGCACGTTTGTATGACCCCATCTGTACAGACTGTAGCCTGAAGTCCTTTCGGTTGCTGTAATCATGTATGACTTTCCGGCACCTGCACCCGTTGCTGGATGACAATTATCCTATGCTGCCGAACAATGCACAAACGGCATATAGCGAAAGTATATGAGCCACACAGAGCGAGTACCCATTGTTCGTTCTTGCAGCTAGCGAAAGCAGCAGAAAACGTATACATTCATCGGGCCGTTGTGTTACATCTCCGTTTGCTGCATTGACGCTCGCTTATTTCCTGGCTTTAGACACAAAGTTTCTGTGATGTCTTGGCTATCCATGATGTTTTGTTTGGCTCGCAGAGGTTGATGTGCATTCATTTGTGGCTTCCTAAAGTTCACAACAGACCAATAATTTATCTGAGAAATTCTTGGTTGTAATTTCGGGCTGCTCGGAAATGGCAAATAAAAACGATTCTGATATATGTGGCTGATACCTGTGTTACGTGAGACAGACCACTACCGCTTGGGCAAGCGCACGATGGTAAAGAAAATTGCTAAGTTTTCCTTGGTAAGTATTTCTTCCGGTTTTAGAGAGTTGGATTAAGCGCAGGACTCAGAACTGCGCCAACATTTACACAAAAATGGCATTATCAGAGGATTTATTGCAAAATTTATAACTGTGGCAGTATTAACTCAAGAAACGTTGACCGCAGGATGATCTCTTTCTCTATTTCTCTCTCTCTCTCTCCTCTCTCTCTCTCTCTCTCTCTCTATATATATATATATATATATATATAAATATAATTAAGAATAAAGGAGCACACTTACGAAAATTTGATAATTGTTTACGTTTCGGCCGTGGCACGGCCTTCGTCAGGGCCGTGGGCCTGAATCCTGACGTCCTTCGTCAGGGCCTGAATCCTGACGAAAGCGGTGCCACGGCCGAAACGTAGAGTAAACAATTATCCAATTTTCGTAAGTGTGCTCCTTTATTCTTAATTATATTTGCACCGGACCCACAGAATGTCTTTTTTGAATCATATATATATATATATATATATATATATATATATATATATATATATATATATATATATATATATATATATATATATATATATACATATATATATATATATATCTGTGTGTGTGTGGCCCTTCACAGTATCATAGTACGAGGACTCTAAGCCCCGTGCTACTGTGACAAGAATACCAGCGTGAAAGCAGACTAGAATGTCTCGCACAGTATGGCGGAATCTGGAAAACCATTTTGTGTTGGTAGCAAGGACAGTCACAAAAGATCTCATGAACATTGAAAACACGTTTCGCAAGCTGTCCATCTGGGCCTACAATGACATGAAATGAATTCTTCTGCGGAAGACGATGAGCACAGTTGAAGATAGGAATCTAACA